TCTTACTTTTTCTAGAATATGTGTATTTCAGATTCATAACATATAACCTGCTCTAAAGGACCAATTGAAGGGGTTCATCTTGTATGAAATAGACTTAGGGGAAATATTAAAGTAGCAGTGATGACCTAATGAAAGCCAAATAACATTAATTTTGCTGTCGACTTGACAAGTATAGTTTTTATCTTGCTGTGTGACTTTGGGTTAAAAAAATAATCAAAGTCACTTCAATTCTGTAGAATCTTACCTACCACCATACATGGCAATGAAAATTAAATATGACAGCATAACAGAAACAGAGTGAGGCACATGGTAGGAACTCAATAAATGGCAGTCCTCGCTACCTGGTAAAATTTCTCTTGCACTGGTGTCTCCTAATACCTCTTCAGGTCCTCTCTAATCTTCTCTACTCCTGCAGATTTGTTTTCAAAATTGGCTGTTCCAAAGTTTCTCAACTGGAATTACTTAGGCTGTTGAGAAATAGACTAAAGGTTCCTTATTAGCATTAATGAGGTAAATATTATGCCATGTAAAAAAATGTATATTTTTAAATATTTTTCCTTCTACCTTGTGATTCCCTTTAGTTAACTCACATTAGTCAAGTTTAACCTTTATAAACTTGTGTGATGGTCACATGCAGACTACAGGATCACAGCAATAAGAAATGTAACTTACTCTATTCATCTCTTTATTTGTGTGTCATTTATTTTCTACTCACACAAGAAAATGAATGAAGTCCTACCAAGAGAACTGTACCCAGCAGTTCTCTTAGGTGGGTGATCAGCCACAAAGTAGCAGTTTCTGCAGAGGCAGCTTTGCCAAGGGGCAACCACCAGGTGGAGACGCAAATCCCCTTCTTTCCCAAACATATAACAGAGGGGAGTATCAGTGGGCGAGAGAAAGAAAGTGAACAGTTGGGTTACAAACAAAACCCCTCAACCACCTCTCTGACTCTCAGAGTTGATAAGGAGAGAATAGATGGTAAGAAAGCCTAGGCAGCAAATGTATACTTCCTTACCACTTATCCTCTCCTTAACAACACTCAATCTGACTTCCTTATTACTCTCCTAAAACTCTAATTGAAAATGATTGATCAACTTCTACTGGACAAACGGGTTTATCTGAATTATCACCCTCCCCAACCACGCTGCCTTCCTTCTTCTTCTAAAACTTTTCTTCCAAGGCTGATAAAATATAACATTTTCCTGAATCTCCTCTTTATCTCTTTTACTGTTTCTTTGTGTCTTTTCATGACACCCCTAATTCTCCTGTCAAAGGAAATGATTCTCTGATCTTTTCTCTCCACGCATTCTCCTTCATCAATTTAATTCATGCCCATAGCTTCTATTCTCTAAGCATATATGATCTGAAAACTTCTCCCTCAAATGCATTCATGATTACAAGCTTGATAGCCATTTCCAACTGCTTAAATATCCTGCCTCATCACTATGTAAAATCACTTATTATATCTCTTATCCACTGCACCCTTCCAACCAAACACAGGTCCCTCTCTGGATTTCATATTTACATTAATGACGTCATCATTCTCCTCACCATACATGATGGAAATTAGTCATCTCTGATGTTTCCTTTCTTTTTCCAAATGTTCCAAACACATTCAGATCCTAAATCCAGTAAATTCTACCTCAATAATCGCTCTCCTATCTTACTTTATTTCTATTGCCACTACTGTAATTCAAACTTCTATCATTTTCCACATATACTACCCTATAGCTCTCTTTAATCGGTATCTTTTCTGACAGTCCGCTTGCTGCTAAATTAATCTTTCTGAAGCACAACCCTGATTATGATTCCTTAGTAAAAAAACTCTTCAGCAAATTCTCACTGGCAAACAAATTAAACCCTATCTTCCTAGTCAGGGGGCACTCCAGGCCTTCAACCTCATCTCTCTTTTCAATTTTAACTCCTATTCCCTCAGATGTATGTGTATAGATGCAGCTATGCTGGAGTCAAGTGGATTTCTCTCCATCCCTGAAATATTCTCTACATTGTATCACACTCTCCTGCTTAAAAACTACTGAGCAAGGCATTCCCCTTCTTCGAACAAAGATCCCAAGTTAGAGGCGCTGAAATATACTTTCTTTTGGATTCATGATTGCATGAAAGCCCTATTCCATGCTTGTTGAAATAATTCTCACTCAAGTCCAGCTCACCTAGACCCCCATTAGACTTCCTGAGATTCCTATCTCCCAAAATCGAAATCACCTCCTATTCTGTGTATCTTTTATTATTTTTACTTTTTAAAGTTTTGTCAGCTGGGTGCAGTGGCTCATGCCTGCAATCCCAGCACTTTGGGAGGTTGAGGTGGGCAGATCAGAAGGTCAGGAGTTCGAGACCAGCCAGGTAAAGCCCCATGTCCATTAAAAGTACAAAAATTAGCTGGGCATGGTGGCACATGCCTGTAATCCCAGCTAGTCGGGAGGCTGAGGAAGCAGAATCTCTTGAACCCAGGAGGCAGAGGTTACAGTGAGCCAAGATCATGCCACTGCACTCCAGCCTGGGCAACAGAGTGAGACTCCATCTCAAAACAGTTTTTCTTTTTTTTCCCTCTTCTATATTTCTACTGCACTTTGTTCATGTGACTAACAGACCTCTCATCATATTATATTACATATACACTCACTGATTTTCCTCCTCCAGTCAGTAGGCTTTTTTCTTTTTTTTTTGAGACAGAGTCTTGCTCTGTCGCCCAGGCTGGGGTGCAGTGACGCGATCTCGGCTCACTGCAAGATCCACCTCCCGGGTTCATGCCATTCTCCTGCCTCAGCTTCCTGAGTAGCTGGGACTACAGCCACCGGCCACCACACCCAGCTGATTTTTGTTTAGTAAAAAATGATTTTTTTTACTAAGCTGATTTTTTCTATTTTTTTAGTAGTGACGGGGTTTCACCGTGTTAGCCAGGATGGTCTCGATCTCCTGACCTCATGATCCGCCCGCCTCAGCCTCCCAAAGTGCTGGGATTACAGGCGTGAGCTACCCTGCCCAGCCGTCAGTAGGCTTTTGAGAGAAACAAGCTTATGATCTTCATATCCACAGTATCTAGCAGTGTATGACTGCTAAAAAGTGTTCACAAAAGCTTTTCATGTTTACAAAATAAATAAATCTAATCTCGGAATGCCTAAAATTAAGTGTTTCATCAAATAATTTAGGGTAGGAATGTGTAAAAAAGTACAGGATAGCTCCTAAATATATGGGTAAACTAAAATGAGAAAGTGATTCTGGGACACTTGGACCACTTGCAGAGGTTAGGGCAAGAATAGTAAAAGCACCTAGGTTGTATCTCTCTCCTCACTGCTCTTTCCATAGTCTATAAAGTCAGGCTAGACTAACAGAACTACCGAGACATGCTCAAGACAGCAGAGGGGTGTTGGGGTGAGAGGAAAGAGAAATGAATAGAAAATAAATCCTAAATGTACACCTGCAAAAAGGGAATGCACACTCAGGGCTTGCTCATGACCATCACTGTTTTCACTACCATTATAATTAGCTACATTTACTTATCACTTACTTATGAGCTATCAGACACTATGCTAAAAACTGTACCACATCTATCATTTAATTTTCATGGCAACCCTACCAGTTCAGTATTACTCATATTTTACAGACAATGAAAGAAATCTAAAAACAATGAACTATATTGCCAAAGGTCTCACAGCTAATATGTTAAGAGATATGGCCAGAACGTTAATAAGGACCAGATCTCAAAACACATTCTCTTCCTGCTCTACTATTCTTGTACCAGAGGTGTACATAACTTGGGGACTGGTTTTACTGCTTTACATTATTTAATTAACTTAGTAAGCACATGTCTTCTTTTCCCTAGTACTAAACTGTATTTTTGAGGGTAGAGTACATGTCAAATATTTTTTATCTTTTCCCTTGAATCTCATAATGACCATATAGCAATCATTCAGTATTTGATTAATTTATTATTATATCTGTGTACTAACAGACATAAGAATTGAGGTGCACTAATCTTTAGTTGGCATGAAGCCAAATACAGTAATAGACGATTTATCCCCTTTGACAACTGTACATGTTGGGATAAGACTCAAAGTCATTAATAGTAATAGGCCCTAAAACATTAAGTCACAGCTACAAAATCAAGGATCGCTTGTGTTTATGTATACTGATAAAAATGATATCTAGGATATGTTATTCTTCCCTTCATATCTGGGTATAAAGATAATAATCATGATGAGCACCCATACAGTCTATTAAGCAAGTGAATAACTTATTTAAATGTGGAAATAAATATGCTTTAATTAATGGCAAAACCTGTCTTACTTATGTCACAGAAAGATGTAAAAACATGTATAAATGGACTGACATCTTCTATACAGGTTGAGTTTTAAAGTCAATTTCAGTACATAACACAAAATCAATTAGAGACAAATAATCCTTCAAATTACTGAAATCCTTGAAAATCCCTTAAATTGCCTTTAAAGCATGGTATAATATAGTACCAGCTCTCAATAAATTCATCTCAGACAGTTTTCCCTCCTGCACAAAACAGATTACCATTTCTTCCGCTGTGTGCCATGTGCAACATTTGGCTGGTGTTTAGGAGCCATATTGAATGAAACAGCATACATTTACACACTGGAATCATATTCAACACCGTGAGAGACTTAAACTCTATCAGTTCCTATAACAGGTATAGAGAACTGATTCCATCTGAGAGAACAGCAGATTCACATCTTCCATATCATGCTTGCTAAGCATATGTTCACTGTGAACTGAGAGCTACAATTATCACATCACGTAAATTATTTGGTTTTTGCTTTGGGGTGTTTTGGTATTGGTTTTGATTTTTGGCCTGAGGCCAAAGATATGAATTTGAATAAATTACATTTCCAGAAATGTGACTCTACCGTGTGAGCTCTCTTGTTTATTCTGCAACCACAGATTCCTAGAATTTCAGGCACAAGTAATCGAATACTACAGTGTGTCATGTAAAAAAATAAAACAGCCCATCTTACCTTCATCTATTGATGCTTCACTACTGTATCCATCATACTCTGCGGATAAAGGACTGTATTTCTGCCTTGTTTCCCAAGCATAGTTCTTTTGTCTAGAATCTGCCAGTGGTAGTCTGGAATTGTGTGTTCTGGATAAGGCCTCATGATATTTACCCAGTGCTTCATCTTCACTTTCAGAGGACGAACCATGCTCATCTTTGTCCATGTAGGAATTATCTATTTGGAATGACATGAAGAATAAACCGTAATTGAAAAAACATTTCCCTCCCCTCAACTGGCCCTGCTGGGCCTGTGAAATGAAAATTTTTATGCAATCAAATATGGAAAATTTGCTGAAGTTATACATATAAACACACACATATATACACAAATATATATATACACACACACACATATATATACACAAATATATATATACACACACACACACATATACACATATATAACCTGAATTTTCAGATTTAAAGAAATACAATTTTTTCACATAAGAAGCCCAAGCTTTGGAAAAAGATCAGCTTGTATATTCTATTATATAAATAATGTTTGTTAGTCACAGAGATTTTTCAACCATGTTATATATAAAGGAAATTATAATACTTACCATTTTACATTTTTTGAAGTATAAGTAACACATAAGTGAAGTTCTAAGTATTGCCAGTACTATGGATCTGATTCAAATAATTCACATTAAAAGACACATTTCTGGTTCTCGTTTTGGTTGAAATTTTCTAAACTGATAATACTCAGTGCTAGCAGTAAAATACAGCAATGGACAGGTATACACTATTGGTGAAATTATAATTGATACTACTTTCCTAGACAGCAATTTGGCAAAATATATCAGACTTTTAAATCTGCATACTCTGATCCATTTCCAGGAATTTATCAATTCTATTTCTAAGAATTCAGCCTAAGAAATTAATTAACAGATGAGTAAAGATAGATTTTTGAAACAATTCACTGCATTGTATTTAATGGCAAAAGAGATAATCTAAATGTCCAACAGTGGGCTTTGTTTAAATAAATATGATACATCTATTCAATGATATACTATGCAGTCATTAAAAATGAGGATGTGAACTTAAAAGAACTCTCAGGGAAAGAATAACTACAATATCATGTTATGAGAAAAAAGGAGGTTAAAAAGTAGAAGTTATAATTACATTCCCATTTGAAAAATATATATACACACACGTGGCATGTACACACACATAATGCAGTCTAGGTATGCACAGACAAAACTATCTGTAAGGATATACACCAAACTGTTAACACTTACTGCTTGTGAAAGGCAGAATTTCTAAGAAAATTTTACCTAAATATACCTAAATTTCAAAAAAAACTTTCAGGAAGTCTAAATTTTTTATTGTTCTAAAAAGCACTAGTTATTACCAGTTTTTTGAAAAGGTAACCACTTTGAAACTGCACAATGGTGCAACTTTCTTAGAATTATTAAACAATTCTAGAAAGATGAAGAGACTACAGTAGTTAAAATTCATTAGTTCAACAGGGTTATTTTTCTCTTTATAGTCAGTTAAGATAATCTGTAGTAAAGAAATCGAGGCTGAAATTTGAGTGGGAGTTACAGAATAAGTAATTTTTAAATACAGGACAGAAACTAAATGCTTAGAGTTAGAAAAAGGTTATATGTCATCTAGTCTAGTCCTAGTTTTTAAATCAGTAAAATAAAGCCATAAATGGGTAATGCTATCACCAATGTCACATATTGTGACAGTGCTTGCCCAATACATAGCCAATAGTCACATGTGGCTATTTAAACTAATTAAAATTAAACAGAAATTAAAACCCAGTTCCCCATGCTATTAGCCACGTTTGAAGTGCTCAACAGCCACATGCAGCTAGTGGTTATTGTATGGAACAATGCAGAGATGTAAGACTTTTTCATTGTTGCAGAAAATACTATTAGACAACAATGAGATGGCCGAGCCATAAGACCTCCGACTCCCAGTGCAGAGCTGTTAGCATTTTGTTGGATACCACGGTGGGGATCTTAAAGCAGCAAAAGGTTTTGAGTCTCTTGAGGAGGGTAATTAGTCTGTGGCCAAACTTCACCTATTAAAAAACATTACCTAACGTAACCTGCATTAGAAATAGAGAAGAAAACCCTTCCTTTTTCTTTTCTTTTGTTTGTTTGTTTTTTTGAGAAGTCTCACCCTGTTGCCAGTCTGGAGTATAGTGGCGTGATCTCGGCTCACTGCAACCTCCGCCTCCTGGGTTCAAGGAATTCTCCTGTCTCAGCCTCCTGAGTAGCTAGGATTACAAGCACCCACCACCATGCCCAGCTAATTTTTGTATTTTTAGTAGAGACGGGGTTTCACCATGTTGGCCAGGATGGTCTCGATCTCCTGACCTCGTGATCCGCCTGCCTCGGCCTCCCAAAGTGCTGGGATTACAAGCGTGAGCCACCATGCCCGGCCTTCCTCCTTTTTCTATACCTTATAAACCCTGTGTCAGAATCTGGAACATAGGTACCAGTAATATTACCGTTCAGCTAAATGAAGGGTTAACCTATGGATCAAAAAGCTTTTGAAAATCATTTGGGAACATGCGTAAGTTTAGTACTGACTATATTGTGGAATATGTTAGAAATATTTGGTTTCTTTAGGTACTAGCATGCTTCTTAATGAAAACAAATTTAAAAAGTTAAAAACCCTACATGCTACTTGTAATAAATTTATTATGAGTGTCCATTCTACCATTATTTTCTGAATAAAATAATATGTAAACTATTTTACATTATTTTTTAATTTTTGCTACTTTAAGCAGTAAGTCTATCAGAACTAAACTGGGCCTACCAAAGATCACTAAATCTGACAATCAAAAAATTGCTAGAATGGACGGGCACAGTGGCTCATACCTGTAATCCTAGCACTTTGGGAGGCCAAGGCGGGCGGATCACGAGGACATTAAGAAGAGTTTTCAGTTCTGCTACGATTACATACATAATAGGGACATTAAGAAAAACTAGGGCTGCTGAAAAGTTGGCCAAATAATGCAGGGACCAGGGGCAATACTTAGCGGCACAAATAACATGAATGCTCTCAAAGTCATTTTAGAAAAAATACTGAATGGCTTTAAAAATGTTTCCCAGTAAAAGGATTCAAGAAAGTCTTAAATGTAGACACATGAATAGGAAAGCTGAAAAATTTGGATGATGTTTTACTAATTTAAAAAATCAAGAGAAAATTTAATCATTCACACCAACATTAGGAGACCTCACCTTTTTCTGGTATTAACTTAGAATATTTTTCATCTTTACTCTTTGCTGTTCCTTTCTTGGCAGAAATTGCCTCAGTTTTCTTCGGTTTTACGTCTTCTTTCACTTTACAGTATTTCTTTGAATTTATTTGTTCTTCAATTTTCCCAGATAACTTATCTTTAGAATTAGTTGGTGGTGCTGGATGTATGTCTTCTTTTATAATGGATTTCTGTGTCATATGTCTATTGCTTGTCAAAATACCTTTTAAAGAACATTCATTTCCTGAACATTCATTCCCTTTAGATGTTTTACTTTTAACACATTTTTCAGCTTTCTTTAAACGATCTGAATGCCCTAAATTGGGAAGATGTTTATATTTATTGAAATGCCCCATATTCTCTTGATCTCTTCCCAAATATACATGTTGAGATTTAGTATATTCTTCCTTTTCACGATTATCTGTACCAATGTATTTCTTTTGCTCATACAATTTGTTTATTCCATCGGCATTCTTCTGATTTCCTTTCATTTCTTGATATCTTACCTCCTTTAAATCATTCTTACCATTATTGGAAACTCCTAGTCCAATTGTTTTACATCTGTTGGTACTTTCAAGTTCTTGACAAATAGATCCAGCCCTTGTATTCTGTTTGATAACTGATATCCCACCATTATTCATGCAGCCTTTCAAAGAAGAATCACCAGTATTACCAGTATCTTGATATCCTGATAGAGTCTGTTGCCTATCATTAACATGTTTAGATACCCTTTCTTCATATATACCTTGATCTTGCTTTTGTGAAACTGAAGTTTTGCAAGTATTTATTTGCTTTGCTCTATGCTCTAAATTGGCTTGTGTTTTCTGACAATTAATGTTTTTGGAGACTTCTGTTAACCCGGCATTTTTTTGGTTAGAAGTGTCTACAGCTTCTTCTGCTACAGAGCTTTCCTCTTCTGGGCGAAAGCCACTTATCATACTTGTTACCTGCTCAGCAACTGAGTCAGTTAAAGCATAGCTGACCTCCCCAACAGCAGTGGTCAAATCCTCTACAGCACTACTGATTGTGTCTACCAGAGAGGACACTGAAGGCAGATTCTGTTGGAAATTTCTGAAAAATGCCATTTTCTAATTCCTTGTTCCTAAAAGGTGCAGTAACAGAATTTTCTCTTCTCAAAATATCAACCACTTTGGAACTTGAATTTAACATTTACTTAAATGTTGCTATTCGTCAGCTCAATATTAGCAATTCACATTGTAGCTTTCAATCTTTCTGTAAATACATTATGCATTGAAAGAAATATGCTGAAGTAAAGATTCTTCCGAAAAACAAAAATCAAACCACTTGGTTTAAATGTTATGACATTTTTTCTCACTCCACAGCTATTGTAACAGCAGCAAGACAATATTTTTCCCTCAAATACTATTGGTTTTTATTCTATACCTGAAAGAAGAAGTATAAAAAGGATTTTTATTATGTACTTTTAGTTTGCTTATTAATAGTCTATGTAAGGGAACTACCCTATCTTACTAATAAACTACCCAGTATCATTTCAAATTAAGAAAAATATTAGAGGGAAATATCTAAACAATTTTGCCTAGTGGTAAGATTAGGGGAGAGGAGGTGTGGACATTTGCTGAGTGGCTACTATATGCAAGGCATTATAATTGACACATTTTATCCCACTTGATCTTACAGTAATTCTAGGAGGTAAATATTATTATTCCTATTTAATAAGTGAAAGAAAAACAAGGCTCAGAAAAATAAAGTTCCCTGAGACATTTTCAAGGGATCCTCAAGGTCAAGACTAGTTTTACAATAACAGCAAGGGGGTACTTAACTTTTTCATTCTCATTGGCTCACAAGTGAACACGAGTTATCCAGAGGCTACATGCCAGATTGAATGTAGAGGCAGAAATGAGAATCCAGCTGTCTTCCATTATGCTAGTCATTAAAAAGATTTGCAAAAAGTGTAACAAAATCACTCTTCTCACCATTTTTCCCCATTTTCTTTTTGTTTTGGAAGATAGTTTTTTTTAATTTAAAGATGTTATTTATATTAATGTGTAATAGTCTTGTTTTTTTAAAAAATAAATATTTTAAATTTTCTCAGTTTTAACTCTAATATGGTACATATCAATAGATAAAATCCACATAAACAAAAAGCTCTTTGGGAGTACTTAATAAAATTTGTACAAAGTTGTCATTAAACAAAGGAAAAGCCAGAAACACTGAACCAGTGAATTACCAAAGGCCGGTAAAGAGATACTTTTAGCCAGTTCTTTCTGCACAAATGATCAAAAAGCAGGACTGGAGTGGATTATAAGAAGCATTGAACTTAACCAAATTAAAACTGTATAAAATACTATTTATAGTTTCTTAATGCAAAAGTCACAACATATAATTTAATAACTTACAGATTCTTGTAAGTAACAGGGCTATCACCTTTTAAGTTATCAGATGTAACAGAAAAGCATATCTCCAACACTTATCTCTGTACACAGATAAGTAAAGCAAGATTTCTCAGCTATTTTTCATCACATTCTTCTAAATTAACACTTTGCTTTTATAATTTCCAATTCGTTTCTGCTATCATTTATATAAACCAGTCTTTGGAAATAGAAAATTTTAAAAACTCTTGTAGTAATTAAAAAAACATTCCAAGGAAAATGTTTCCATAAGAGAAAGAATGGTATTTACAGCCCTCATCTTTCCTAGTATCCAGTAACGCTATAATATATGGTGCCAAGGGAGGGAGCAGAACACTATTTTTTATCATCACAATTTATATATAAATTAAGTTACTAAGTAGAACCACCTCCAACTCCTCCAAACAATAAAATTACCCATTAGCTGAAAATTAAATAGCAGGTAAAGAAAAAGGGTGAACACTTTCAAAAGTGTTCTAGGGATGTGGAGAAAAAAGTTCTCTAAAGAGCTTCTTGGACAATGGAAGTATGCTACATAAAGTAACAACATACTTCCTTCTTCCTCAAGCGCATCTGTTCCTATCATAGGCTCAAAAGTATATCTTACATATGAAAATTAAAATGTCATTTTGTGATAGTAGACAATTCACCTTTATGTACTAGCAATTCATGAACAACAGAAGGACACCTGAACATAATTTACTCAACAGATCTTTTACAGAACAGTAGCTCAAATATTAGTTTATTGTATGTCACAACCAACCTTTTTATTGCATATATTAAAATAAGTAAATAATAGTACAGATAAAGAGAACAAACAAGAGAAGCAGCAATATGATACTTACAAATTTTATCTTGTGAATTCTTCCTTGTACTGTATTCTGAACCAAGATCTGGAAACCCGCCAACATTTTCAAAACAGAACTTCTTATTAATATAGAGAAAAAGGAGCAGCATCAAGATAATAAACACCCCAACAGCTGACAAAAATCCAACTGCCTCTGGAGATACTAGAGGAAAAAAAGTCACAGCTGTAAGCATTTATTTTTCTTTAAGCTACAAATAAGAAGGAAACCCCAAACATAAGTTAGCTTACTACCTTATTTGAATCATATTTTTTAATTGTCATAGTTTAAAAATAGTTTCATTTATAAGAAAAACAAACTGCAAAGTTTGATGACAGTTGTTCAATCTATTCAGCAGCATTCATTCAAATTTTCTAAGTTTCCTTAAATATTCAGAGGAACAATCTTAAAAGACAGGCGTCAGCCAGGCACAGTGGCTCACACCTGTAATCCCTGTGGGAGGTGTGATTGTGGGAGGCCAAGTGGGTAGAATCTCTTGAGGCCAGGAGTTCAAGACGAGCCTGGCCAACATGGTGATACCCTGTCTCTACTAAAAATGCAAAACTTAGCCTGGCATGGTGGCACATGCCTGTAATCCCAGCTACTTGGATGGCTAAGGCATGAGAATCGCTTGAACCTGGGAGACAGAGGCCACAGTGAGCCAAGATTGTGCCATTGCATTCCAGCCTGGGCAACAGAACAAAACCCTGTCTTAAAAAAAAAAAAAAAGACAGGAGTCTATAAAATAGGCAATCATCATATGTTTAATCCATCGAACAGCACTGCAAAAATTTGAAAATAAGAATTAGAAAAAAGGCCAGGTACGGTGGCTCATGCCTGTAATCCCAGCATTTTGGAAGGCCAAGGTGAGCAGATCACTTGAGGTCACGAGTTCAAGACCAGCCTGGCCAACATAGCGAAACCCTGTCTCTACTAAAGTACAAAAATTACCCAGGCATGGTGGCGGGCACCTGTAATCCCAGCTACTCAGGAGGCTGAGGCAGGAGACTCATTTAAACCTGAGAGGCAGAGGTTGCAGTGAGCCAAGATCACACCACTGCACTCCAGCCTGGGTGATACAGTGAGACTCCGTCTCAAAAAAAAAAAAAAAAAAAAAAAAGAATTAGAAAAAAGTTATATCCCATGCACGGATATATTACTTAACAAAATTTATGAGAACACATATCATTATTTTTATCTCTAAAAGCTTCAATCGCTCTTTCTTAGTAAACTTTGTATTCCCTAATGTGGCATTCAAAGCTCCAGCCTCCCTTTTCAATACTATACTCCAGTCAAATGTTGTACTCATTGCCTCAGAATCTGCAATATTCAATACCACACTCCTTGTTTTTATTGATACTCTTCCCTTGCCTAGAACAACCAACGCCTCTCTACTATATCCTACTCATTCACTCAACCAACTTATATATTTGGAGCACCAACCATATACCAGGCATTGTTATATAAACAGTTCCTGAGTTCCTTGAACAATCTGGTGAAGACAGATACAACACAGCGTAATAAAGGCAATATAGTGTAATAAAGGCTATGATTGGGAAAGAACAAGGACTATGAGAACACAGGAACACTTATTCCAGTGCTGAAAGATCAAGAAAGGTTTTCTGGAAGTTATGGACTCTATGATTATATTTTAAGAATTAATAAGAATTACTTCAGGCAGAAATAACATGTGCAAAAGCCCAGAGACAGAGGATCATGTTATATTCCAGAAACTGAATGAAATTCTGTTATGATAAGCTACTAGATTTTCAAGAGAATTTGGTCTCAAGCAAATATATGAAATCACCTAGAGAGGTTTTATACAGTGGGAAAAGACAAAAGACAGCTTCTCCAGTCCTTGGCAATCTCTCTTTCAACTTTTTTATTTGTCACTATATCAGTCATTTGAAGTTAAACAGGAGCTAAGTTTTTGTATCCTCCATGTCTTACAGATAATATTCAAGTATTAGCTGAGAATGATTCTAAGTTTCAAACACCCCTACAAAGATCCCTGTATAATCTACTCTTCCTCCTCCATCATTCAAGCAGCAACTAAAATGTTGTTTTCTCTAAGATTCTTAAATCAGAGAGCAATGGCAAATAGTATCTTAACTCATTTGTTAAAAATGAAGTCACCAATTGGTCAATGATGAGTGCTTTGATTTCCTTTTTCATTATTTATAAAAGTTAGGCATACGAGGTATAGAACTGAATAAGACATTATATCTTTTCAAAGCGGGGTCAATGGTGTTACAGTAGAAGATGAAGCAGAGTAACACTGTAAGGCAGGGGCAATGGAAGTGAGAGGAGGAGTGAGAGTAGGAGGCAGCAGGAATGGTAGGAGTGCTAGCTGGATACCAGGCTGGTGCTGAAGGACAGATCTTGCTCCTAGAACCAAGAAATTATAGCCAGACATTAGCCTTGCCTGTCTTGTCCTCAGGCTGAAGCACAGCCAGGGAAGAAAACTATTTTAATAAAAGAAGCTAAGGTATATGACATAAAAACAGTGGTATGTATCAAGCCTGAGATATGGAGTAAAAATGAAAACAGAATAATTAAAATCAACATTTCAGATAGCCAGGAAAATCAGAAGCAGAACATAATCTGTTATGAAGAGGCAAAAAAGAGCAGTATTTCAATATTACACTGTAATAACAAATATATATAGGAGTTCCTCTTTTAGTCCAGGCTCAAAACAATCAGACATTTAATGCCTTAAGTGGCTACACAAGATTAGATATCATGCAGACTGAAAATCTCCCATGTCTTGGAAAACTAAATGAAAGAGAAAATGTAGCTCATGTCACTTAAGAAAGCTAGTTATCGATAACAAAAATAGCAACAAAAACATATAGCATATACTATATACCACTCACTGTTTTAAGCATTTTATATATATTAACCCATTTAATCTTCACAAAGATCCTATTATCATCCCAATTGTAAATTGAGACAAAGAGATATTAAACTATGTATACAGATAGTAAGTTAGGATTCAAACCCTGTCTGGCCCCAGTGTCTGCGTCTTAACTACTACTCATACTGCTTCTGTTTACCTTCTCTCCTCTTCTTGCCTCTTTCTATCCCTTGCCTCAATCCTTATTTCTATGTTCCTCTTTCATCTTTCTCTTGCCCATTTTAAAAATTCAACCTAGTAGGAGAGATCCACTATAAGCAAGTAAGTATAACATATAGTAAATACTATAATAGAGATATGAATATAAATTATTACCGGAACACAAAGAACCAGTACCTGAGAAAGTCACAAAATGCTTTAGAAGAGATGACACTTGAATAGGGTATAAAAGATTAATAGAACCTCTATAAATAGTAAAAGTACATTTGAAATAGCATGGTTAAAGACACCTGGCATTTAATAAGACACCTGGTAAAATATACCTGGCATTCTATAAGCACTAATGGGCAATAATCACAGCTGTCATATTTATTTACCTCTGTATCTTCGAAGTACCTAGGACAGCACCACATAGCTGACATATAAACATCTGTGGACAAATGGATGGATGAATGAATGAATTAATAAATATATGTGTATTCAGGAAAGATCAAGAATATACCAGAGGAGCTGTAACTGGAGATGAAAGCAAGGTCCATATTGTCAAAGAATCTTGAATATCATCCAAAAATTTTGTATTTGGGGAGTAACATGATTACAAGTATGCCTTGTAGAACTATATTGGTTTAAAAAAAAAACAACAACTAGAAAACTGAAATATGGTAGCAAGTCAACAGTGGTAAAATATCTTCAGTTCTTTAAGTGGTAGCAGTGGTAACAGAGAAGGGTGAAATCTAGTCTTTATTCAAAGAAAATTGATAATGATCCACTTATGTAAATTTAGAGAGTAAGAAAGAAGAAGAGTTGAGGTTAATTCTAAAGTTTCTGCTTTGAGTGACCAGGTAAATGGTAATGCACTAACCAGAATGAAGAATATGAGAAGAAAGGCATTTGGATTAGAGCATGGGAGGAAAGAGGAAAATAGAAGGAGAATGATAGATGATTAGTTTAGTTTTTGACATGCTACATTGGAAATGCCAACAGAATATTTCACAGAGGGAAATATGAGTATGATGTTCTGGTAAAGGTCAGGTTAGTTAACAAAATTTGAAAATTTTCCCTCTTTTTTGTTCCTCTTATTCCACATGAAACACTTCACTCGCTAAATAAAACCAAGCTGGCAAATGCAGGTGCCAGGCTTTATTAATGGTAAATATATTATGTTACATATCTTTAGATAAATACATACTGTGGCATCAGACAAATTAAAAAAAAAAAAAAAAAAAAAAGCCCTTGCTCCACTAGGAAAAGGTGAAAAAAGGTGAAATATGCCTGCTGTAAACATACTATTCACATAATTCCCTGACTGAATGCCTGTTTTTTAAATTCATTAAAAATATTTTATCTATTTACAATTTTAAAACAGTAATATGGTCATAAACAAGAAATAAAATATCTTCTAATAAAAATATTTAAAATCTTCAAGCTCATTTTTCATCCTTAGCTGAGAACTAAACTAATATTTATTATTTCAAATATATTATAATGATACCAGAAGTTAGCCAGTAACAGTTCTGAGTATAAAACTCAGAACTGTACAGGTAAATCCCACCTGTACATAAAACTGCAATAGAAGACATACTGAAATTAAACTAAAGATATGAATACTGTAAACCATGCTTGTCCAACCCATGGCCTGCCGGCCTTATGCAGCCCAGGATGGCTTTGAATGCAGCCCAACACAAATTTGTAAACTTTGTTAAAATCTTATGAGTTTTTTTTTTTTTTTTTTTTTTCTTTTTTTTTTGAGATGGAGTCTCGCTCTGTCGCCCAAGCTGGAGTGCAGTAGCGCCATCTCGGCTCACTGCAAGCTCTGCCTCCCGGGTTTACGCCATTCTCCTGCCTCAGCCTCCCAAGTAGCTGGGACTACAGGCACCCGCCACCTCGCCCGGCTAGCTTTTTTTCGTATTTTTAGTAGAGACGGGGTTTCACCTTGTTAGCCAGGATGGTCTCGATCTCCTGACCTCGTGATCCGCCTGTCTCGGCCTCCCAAAGTGCTGGGATT